CAGGTCCGGTAGATCTGCGCAACGATCGGCTTGGTCACGTCGTTTTGGTTCTGAATGTGAACCCAATCTCCAACCTTCCACAACTCACCGCGGTGAAGAATGCCATCGGGGAGAGGGAAGCGACCATCTTCCATCAAAAACTCGCTGTCGGGCTTCTTCTTTTCTTGCTCGGCCAATTTCCGTGATTCGTTCTGCAGGTCAACAGCATCCTTGAAGATCTCGCTGTCGGATTGATTGTATGTTTTGGCGTTTTCGAACATGAGATCAAGATCCCGCATGAAATGATCGACCGAGTTATACTTCTTGCGCTTGGATTTGCGCTTGATGATGTCGATAGCAATAGGATCCTTGATCTCCATGTAATAATCCGGATAAGTAGCTTTGTCGGGGAGCCGTTCAAAGTGGGTAATCTTCAAGTGGCCACCAGCACCCTTGAATTTGCGGATTCCTTTGAGAATGGTCTTGATCCTAGTTTCCATAGGAGTATCCACGCGTGGAGGGCGGCCGCGTTTCTTGCGCAGGTCTGGCTCCGGCTTCTGAACCATTCCACGCTTGGACCCAGGCTTGGGACCGGGCTTCTTCCTTCTTCGGCCCTCATCCTCAGAACCCTCCATCTCAACCTCGTCATCGTCCTCGTCTTCTTCCACTTCCTCCTCCTCCTCCTCTTCGTCCTCATCGGGCAGAGGATCGGCCTCGGGGATTTCTCCTAGATCGGGAAGTTCTGCCTCATCGGCGGAGATCACACCCTGGGCAGCTAGCTTCCTGAACTCGGACGCAAAAACATCCTAATGCTGTCAGTTTGCCAGTCACTTGATCAGTTTCCCTGGGTTTATCTTACCCTAATAACCAGCGCATCCTCGTAAGCTTGCGATCGAGGTCTGTTATAGGTTTGCGCATTGTGTGGGATCTAGAGACTGTCAGTCAAGGAACCGGAGATCTGGGCGCAATAGACGTACCAAAGCACAGTCGCGGACGAATTCCGAAAAATGTTTGTATTCCCGCTTGTTGATGCGGGCTTTCAAGATGCTGAGGGCCATTGGCTCCTTAATGATATCGTAGTAGTCCGGAACAAAGCGCTTGTTGACACTGCGATGGAACAATCGGGACGGATCATGGCCACTCCAACAATGTCAGACAAAAGTTCCACACAGCTTTATCAAGACAACTTACTCGTCTTCCCGATAGTTATAAATCGCCATGACCACATCCATCATCGACTTCCATAGTTCTCGGGTGATTACACCGTCATCCTCGATGGAGTTGACGGGCTCCTCACGCGGGGGATGCGACTCTTGCTCGGAAGGCTCCATGCCGCTGGGAACGAGCGCGCGTTTCCACGCAAATCACAGGCTTGTGCGTTGCAATAATCGGGTGAGCGCTCAGCTAGAAAAGGTCCAGTAAATTGCCTAAGTTGGATCGTAGGGGGAGTCGGAGAATGTTTTACGAGCGCGTGAAGCTACTGCTGAGTCAGCAGAATTAACGTTACATACGGTAATCTCATTTCATGACGAGTTCGAGCTCTGCGAATCGCTTCACTTCGACAATATATTCTGCATTCATGGCCATGTCTCTTCAGGATAGTATTGCCTTACATGGCTGCTATTATATATATAAACGCTGATCCTTGACATTCCTTGAAGCTGACTCTTTTGGTTTCATTGTACTCCGTATGCTAAGACCGACCTGTTTGCGGATTTCAGATCTCAAGAATTCTTCAGACCTGGACAAAGATTCCTTGAGCTCGTGAACACCTCAGCAACAAAGGGGCTTTTGCTTGTTCTTTGCTTGCATCGCATTCCGACAGCTACCCCACACGGCATCGTCATATCTATCGGTGGGACGCCCACATCACCGCCCTAGCTTCTCCTCTTCGCCTCTGCATCTCTTCTGTCTCAGATATTTCATCTATTGCATCATGAGGATCCGAGTGCGCGGGCCCTCAGGCCAGTCAACTGTCACTCTAGACGACACTGCAACTATCAAAGATCTCCGAGACCAAATTGTGGAGAAGACTGGTCTAACTGCCTTTGATGTGAAATATGGATACCCTCTCCAGCCGCTCGAGCTAGGCAGTTATCAACCAGGCCAGACCATCTCAGAAACAGGGGTCAAGCTGAATGGGGAGTCACTTATCGTCGCTCCTAAAGAGGGATCTAAACCTCCTAGCGAAGCAAAGAAGGAGCCACCGGCCACGCTGTCGCAACTGTCCACCTCGTCGCAAAAACCGCAAACCAATAACGCCGACGACCCCCCAGAGATCGCTTCGCCAGAGCATGCAGGAACCTTTGTTCTCCGCGTCATGCCGGACGACAACTCATGCCTTTTCCGAGCAGTCGGCGCGGCAGTCATGGGCGATATGGACACAATGGTCGAGCTTAGATCGATCATCGCAGGCGCCATCCAGTCGAACCCAACAGAATATACAGCAGCGATTTTAGGCAAGAAGCCGGACGAATATTGCCAGTGGATCCAGAACGAGGATTCTTGGGGTGGTGCCATCGAGCTTAAGATTCTGAGTGAATACTTTAACATCGAGATCTGCTCGATTGACGTACAGACTCTCAACATGTTTCAGTTCAACGAAGGAGCACCTACGCGATGTATCGTCGTCTATTCAGGAATACACTACGACGTCCTCGCCCTGTCACCCTCCCACCCGCCATACACTCGTGCCAACCCCTTGGCTGATGGTGATACAAAGATTTTTGAGGCTGTCGACCCTGTTGTTTTGGAAAAAGCAAAGGAACTATGCAAGGTTCTTCAGGGCAAACATTACTATACCGACACTTCTGGATTCACTGTGCGGTGCAACGTCTGTGGTGGTACATTTACTGGCGAGAGAGGTGCCACCAAGCATGCGGCGGAAACGGGGCATTATGATTTTGGAGAAGCAGGCTAAGCAGTTAAAATAGATGATAATGCATTTTGCAGCGATTATAATCTGCTTGGTATGAATAGCGTATGGCATCAAATCGATATCACATATCGTACATAAATCGGGTCTCATAGCATAGCGACCTCGTCTGCTTCATCTTCCCCTTCGTCTTCCTCTGCCGAGTCTGCACTCTCTTCAGGGTTACCGCCCCATTCGACATCATGATGGACGGGATTTGTGAAGAATTCATGCTGCAAGGCATCTGCGGCACTGAGACGCTTGGACGGGTCCAGCTCCATCAGGCCAGACAATAGACGTGTTGCCTGTTCCTCGCTTTCTGTCAAGTCCTCCACACAGCTTGACCATTTCACCAGCTTCTCCCAGCTGTAGCCTTTCTCGCCGATAGTGGGGATGTTTGTTTCGAAGATTTGTCCGTGCATGGCTGCTGCGGTCTTCATGCGCCGAGTACCAAAGATGCTAGACATCTCAATCATCGCATCAATGTCGTCTGCAGAGTTGAAGAAGGGGAACCGACGTCCCAGCAATGTCAAAAGGATGACACCAACGGACCACATGTCGATCTTTGTGGTTTGTGAAGTGCATTTGAAGAGAACTTCTGGGGCTCGAAAGCCTCGAGTGCCAGCACGATTTGCTCGTCTCGACGGCCGTGAATCGTTCTTGGGGTAGCCGGCGGACAATCCCGCCGATGGGGGATTCTTGGAGTAGTAACTGGAAAGTATCCGGCTCCGGCGGACATAGCTTTGATGAGTACAGAGACACGGGCTAGTGTATTCCGAACCTTGGCGCTATTGAAACTGTGAGTATGCAGGTCATAGTATAGAAGATGGAAGTCATACCTCTGCAAGTCCGAAGTCAACCAAGACGCCTTCTTTCAGGTCTGGGTTGTAGAGGAAGTTGCTGACATACAAGTTAGTATGCAGGCAAAATTAAAGCGAGAACAATGAACTTACGTTGGTTTGATATCGCGGTGTAGAATATCATGTTCGTGTACCGAGTTCAATGCAGTCATAAGAGATCGTAGATAGTGGCGCATGTCTGCTACCATGAATGTTCGGTACTGAATGCGAAAGTCCGTATGTGGGAAGTAGGGTAGCACGGCAACGACTTGATCTTGGTATCGGAAAGCAGTGATCAGCGGGCAAACAGACCCGCAGCCTCGGAGATCATGTAGCAACTCCAGCTCGTTTTGGATTCGCAGCGGGCTGCTCGTCACATAGATCTTCTTCAAGGCAACGAATCGTGCCTTTTTCCGCCCGCTCAAGTCACCCTGTACTCGTCTTCGTTTAGATGGAGGGCTGTCGTATGTGTCTTGTTGTGCTTTGTCAAAGATATCCCAGTCATTTTGGTAGTGATCGTAGTGTAGATCTTCTGCCTTGTACACGGTGGAAAATGTACCTATAGTTTGTCCGTCAGTAAACAAGCAAACAAGCCATATAGGATGAAGATATCATACCCTCTCCAATCCTGTTTACTAGACGAAACCTGTCCGAGATCCCTGGAAAGGTATCCTCGAGCTTTCTCATGTCCTCTCGAACGGATTCGTCCACTTCTTCTTCAAATTCGCTCTCCTCTTGAGGCGCAGCGCCCTGGGAAACCGAATCATCCTCTTCTGCTAGTGTGTACTGGGGCTTCAATGCCTGTGGTTCCTGAAAAGAGCTGCTGCGTTGCAACTCAAAAACGCCTGGGGCGGCGTGGAGGGCCGACATAGCTTGATAGAGCCCCCGCGAGCAAGTATAAGAGGATTGGTCGTGCTTTGGTTCGGAAAGGTCTTCAAGTGTCGAGGATATGGTCTTGGGTGTCACGTGTCTATGTTTGGTGTTTGGAAAGGTTCTTTGAAGTTTGATTGTTTTCAGATGTCAATTGCCAAAATAATCCAAACGCGGTAGGTTTGCAGGCAAAACGCGCGGTGACAGTACCAAGAGCCCTTGGGGCTGGCAGATCGATGGATACAAGGCGGTAAGGAGGGGAAGCTGCAGCGTTAGCGGTAAACTATGACGAGTTACATAAGATTATGTAAGAATCGGCCCTTTTTGGCAAAAGCCAAACAATCGGCCTTATCAACAAGTTTCCTCCCCGCTTTGATCTCTTCGCAACAACAACAACCATGGAGGACAGGATTCAGTTCGACATCAACGACTCGCTCAAGTATTACTTGAGTGACCCCGCGACACTCCCAACCCCGGATGCAGACCCGGAACTGCTGGATTGCGAATCGGATCCCGAGTCAATTTCGCCCGCGCTGATTGACAATGTTTTGAACCCGATTGTGGACGCGGTAGCGGAGAACCCTGAGGGATTAACGAGATCATCCGTATTTGACTCCCTACAATTTTTGCTAAAGTGCGCCCCGGTCCCTTCCCAACTTACCCATGGAGGCTTTCGCCCGTCAGGAATCGACTCTGACGAACCTTTTCACACTTGCAGATATTCCACGGTCCTTCCCACAAAATCCTTGAGCAAACTTCTAGATTTGGTCGTTTCTGGCCTCTCCGTCGAGGCCGACATCATCCATGGAGACTTGGAGTCAGACGAACAGGATGCCATCCAGGCCCACAAGCAGCTGCTGGAAATGTACGGATTCCTTTTGCAGTGGGCCCTTTCTGCTGTCGAGGTAAAGGCAGCAGAAAAGCCAACCGAGGCAGCTCCTGTGCGACGAGGAGGACCCAAGTCCAAGAAATCGGCCAAGGACGGACAATGGGACTGGACGCCGCAGATCCAAATATCCATGGAGACCATGTGCAAGGTGATGAAGCTCAAACTCGGACGCATTTTCCTGACGACTTCGGATCGGGATACCTTTATTAATCTCTTCACGCGCACCATCTATCTGGTTCTCGAGAGTGAGCAGCGGGTGAAGAGCATGGCTATTCGCATGCACGCCTTCAAGGTCCTGTGTATTGCAGTGAAGCACCACGGTCATGCATTTGGTAGGCTTAACGGACCCGTCCCAGCGCGACTATATTAACGTTGGTATAGGTGCCCAAACGTCGATTGTGCAAAGTTTGACCTACTTTGAACACTTGTCTGAGCCTATGGCCGAGTTTCTGCATATTCTGGCAGAACAATACGACTACCCGCAGCTCTCCGATGAAATTTTGAAGTAATGCCATTCGCCGTTCTGTCTTGTCTCGCACTGACATTGTTTAGGGAACTTGGAAACAAGGAATTCAATTCTAATGACACAAGAGGGCCCAAGTCTGTTTCGTCATTCATCATCAAGCTGTCTGAGCTTGCCCCCAGATTAATCATCAAGCAAATGACACTTCTGGCAAAGCAGCTTGATAGTGAGGTAATTATGGCCAATAACAAGATATGTGGTTCTTTCACTCACGAATACAGGCATACACACTCCGCTGTGCAGTAATCGAGGTTTGTGGAAACCTCATTGCTGATCTTAGCCGACAAGAAGAACCCAGCGACAACTACAAAACCCAGATCAACGCCTTTTTCGATGTACTGGAAGAGCGTTTCCTCGATATCAACCCTTACTGCCGCTGCCGTGCGATCCAGGTATTTATGCGAATTTGTGATCTTGAGCAAAAGTTCCCCAAGAGACGACAGTCCGCGGCTCAGCTGGCGACTCGAAGCTTGGAGGACAAGAGCAGTAACGTCCGACGTAATGCAATTAAACTCTTGTCCAAGCTTGTCTCCACGCACCCATTCAGTGTGATGCACGGCGGGCAGCTTTCATACAAGGAGTGGAATGAGAGACTCGACGCAGTTGACGCCGAGCTGAATTCTCTTCGCCCTGCGGAGACCCCTGGCTTTGATGCAGGCGATATGACGCAGGTCGACCCTGAGCTGCTTGACGATGCTACACAGCTGCCAGACGACTCACCCTCGAAAGCACCCCGATTGACTGAAGAAGAAAAGGCTGTGGCAATTCAGAAGGCCCAAGAACAGGCTGCAACTTCCGAGCTGTTGACACGGCTCCAGCTGACCAGAAAATATTACAATGAGGCCATCCGCTTCATTGAAGTACTTCACTCGGCGTCTACCATTGTCTCGCAATTGTTATCTTCGCGGAACAAGAGCGAGGTTATCGAAGCCATGGACTTTTTTGTCGTTCTTGATGCGTACAAGATTGAAACGGCCCGTGGTGGAATTCGTCGCATGCTGCGTCTGATCTGGACCAAGGGCAACAGTGACGAAGGAAAGGGTGTCCAAACACATCTGATTGACTGCTACAAAGGTCTTTTCTTTGATGCGCCAGGCTCTTTCAGTCCCAACGATGCCGCCAATTATATTGCTCGCAACATGATCAGTCTGACATTTGGTGCGACACCTGCAGAACTGACCTGTCTCGAACAACTGCTCAGCACCATGATGAAGGCTGGAAATATATCAGAGGCAGTCATTGCCAAGCTATGGCAGGTTTATGGCATCCAGAAAAAGGAGATCTCGCGGACTCAGCGCCGGGGTTCGATTATAGTGCTCGGCATGCTAGCTCTAGCAGACCCCGAAGTTGTGGTCAAGGAGATCGAAGCCATGCTGCGTATTGGCTTGAGTGGTCATGGCAAGTCTGACCTCGTGCTCGCCAAGTATACTTGTATCGCTCTGCGACGCATGATTCCTGGGCGACAAGCCAAGTCAAAGGAAGTTGGAGTTACCAAACTTCCCAGTGACCACTCCGTGTTGGTCAAGCTTGCTGCCATGCTCGAGATTGAGACAAACAGCAAGGAATGGTATGGAGTAGCAGAGCACGCGCTCAATGCGATCTATACTCTCTCCAAGCACCCGGATGTGCTCTGCTCAGACATTCTTCGACGGAAAACAATCTTCGTCTTCCAGCCACACCTTCAACAGCGCCCACCTTCCTCCCATACCTCCGCTGCTGATGGCGAAGAGGAGCGTCCTGGAACCGCATCAACTGAGGGACAGGGCTCCAAACCCAAGCCAGCCTCCGCAGCGCTTTCGCAATTGCTGTACGTTGTTGGTCACATCGCAATTAAGCAGATTGTTCATCTTGAACTGTGCGAACTCGACTTTAAGCGTCGTAAGGTTGAACAGGAGAAGAAGAAGGCTGCCTCCGCCCCTCAAAAGGAAGACAATGCCGACGAGGACGAGCTTGATCTCATCGGTGGAACTACCGAAGATGATTTCCAGGATGCTATGGCCCACATCCGAGAACGTGAACTTCTTTACGGAGAGAACTCTCTTCTGGCCAAGTTTGGTCCCCTTGTAACAGAGATTTTGGCCAACAACAATGCCTATCCGGATCGTGATCTGCAAGCCTCTGCGACTCTGTGCTTGGCCAAGCTCATGTGCGTTTCTGCCGAGTACTGCGAGAAGAACTTACCACTTCTTATCACGATCATGGAACGGTCCGAGGACCCGATTGTGCGTAGCAACGCTGTGATTGCCCTCGGTGACATGGCCGTCTGCTTCAACCATCTGATCGACGAGAACACCGACTTCCTCTATCGTCGCTTGAATGACGATGACGATTCTGTCAAGCGGACCTGTCTCATGACTCTCACCTTCCTCATTCTGGCTGGTCAAGTCAAGGTCAAGGGACAGTTGGGTGAAATGGCCAAGTGCCTGGAGGACGACGACAAGAAGATCGCGGATCTGGCTCGCATGTTCTTCACCGAACTTGCAACCAAGGACAATGCAGTCTACAACCACTTTGTCGACATGTTCAGTCTGTTGAGTGCAGAGCGCAATCTAGAGGAGGCCTCTCTCCGCCGCATTGTCAAATTCTTGATCGGCTTTGTCGAAAAGGTACGATCATACTTCAATGACCTATTAATGGAATTGGCTAATATTTTTCAGGAAAAACACGCCCGCCAGCTGGCCGACAAATTGGCTGCTCGACTTCCTCGGTGCGAGACAGAACGCCAATGGAACGATGTCGCCTACGCCCTGTCTCTTTTACCGCACAAGAACGAGGAGATCACCAAGACCGTCAGTACCGGGTTCAAGGTTGTCGGTGCGGCAGCCTAATCGGAGGCAGCTTATGTATTGATGTCATTGATGATTTGGGTCTGGTTTGTAAATTCTGGCGTTGTCGGTTAAGTCTTGGGGGGTTTAAAGCAATGCATAATTTTCATCATGATTCATCCCAATGAACCTGCGTACCTTGACTACATTCTATAAGCTAGACTAGACTCTGCTATATTCATTTCCGGAGGCACAAGGTGCAGGATATGCAATAACTTCATTGCAATACTAATCAACAGCTCCATCGGTCATCTACTCCGATGGAGCAGCTGCCCAAAAAGAGATCTAAAGGGTGAAAGATGCGCAAGATCTAAGTATGTGATGAGAAAGTAACGGAGACCAGACGTAAACACAGAAGAAAAAGAGGAAAAGACGCCGAGTGTGTGATGGTCGCATGCCAGATACGCCACGTTTGTGAACTGCGGGGAAAGGAGATATTAAACCGGTCTATGCGCCCTTCACTGTACTTTCTGTCAAGGTATACTCGCCAGACCGAATCCCCTGCAAAACCTTCTGTCCCTCCTCTGTTAACTCGGGCTTGCCCAGCGGCGTCACGGCGCCAGTGAAGAAACGCGGGTTCCACTCGGTGCCCTTCTCCTTGCGCTCTGCTGCGCGTTCGCGTTGCCGTTCCTCGATATCTTGTTTCAACTTGGTGGCCTGGCCGAACTGTTTGTCCACGATGGCGTTTGTGACGTCGCCCCAGAATTTTAGAGACTCATTAGACAGCTGTTCTTCTGCTGGGGGGATGTTCTTCGGGACGGGAAAGAGAGGAGTAATGTCGATGAGCAGAGATGGCTCCTTAGTGCCTGCCGGAGTAAAGTATATCTTGCCGTGCCAAGACCCGGTGATGCGAGCGATGACATCGCTCTCTGGCACGTCCTTGATTCTTGTCACGGTGTCCTTGTCCTTGTTGTAGCGGAAGATCACACCCTCCAACTTGTTTTGTGATCGGCCAATCCATCCTTCTTCCATGTACTGAAGGATCGCCTTCATGCCTGTCTTTGGGCAGGTGATGTAGCATGTGTCGGCGACTGTGATAGCCAGCGCGCCTCGTAGGATTCCTCCGAGGTGGGCGTCTGGGTGAGTCAACTGGTATTCCTCGTTGTCTCTCTTCTCGATGTTGACGAAGATTCCAAGGTTATGCTGGCCAGGGCTCACGCGAATGCTGGTGCCTGTGAACTTGGCACTGATTTGGTCGAATCCGCGCGCGGTGACTCCCCGCTCCGGGCAGTCAATGTAGAAGGCCGAGACTGGGGGGTGGTGGGAGGTCTGTTCGGTGAGGTAGCACACTTTGACTTTGTCGTCGCCGTCTTGGACGCTCGAAGAGCCGTTAGAGCTGATTCCGGGGAGGTTTTGTTCTTCGGGGATGTTGTCATTGACATCCCAGCTGCACTAGAGGGTGTCAGGGAAAAACCAACAGAATACCTGTAGAGTAACTCACTCGGAAGAATTCACCCAAGGTGGAGTTGTATGGCTTGCACGGTTTCCCCTTGATGTATTTCTGGAACCAAGTCAACAATATATCCGGCCAACCGACGCAGGGAACTATACCAGATCCTTCGTGAACCAAAACCTCAACACTTCCAACATACGGCCTAACTCATCATCCGACTTGCCAATGCTGTAGCTCTTGGGTCAGCACATGAGCGTCTGCCAAATATGGGTGTTGCTGACCTCGCAAAGGTCTCGGGTCGGTCCAAGTAATTCCAGTATTCTTCGTCACCAACCCGTTAGCCTCCAACTCCACAAAGGCTAGCACAGCAATGACCTACCGAGATTCGGTCTCGGCTCCAGCAGTTGCGCCGGCAGTGAAAAGCGAACCGAGGCGATATCTGCCACACCCACGAACCTAATAGCCAGCATGTTAGCGCCTAGAAACGGCGGTGCGGGGCGACCCCAGAGACATACTTCCGGAGAATAGAGAGGAAAGTCTTGAGCTTGGAGGAGTCATCTGGGGCCTTTTCAGGCACAGCAGCGGTCGACATGGTGATTTAACGTGTGCGATAAAGATATGTTGAGGAGGGAAGCTGGTTTGTTGAGTAGAAGATGTGGCGAACCGGTCGCCAGTAGGGGTTGAGAGGGGGGTTCTCGGGCCTTGTGTGCCGAAACAAGGATGAGGAGTGTCGCTAGAGTCGCAAATTGCTCACGGGCAATCTCAATATGGTCAAAGGTAGAGAAAAGAAAGGAGGTAAGGGAGCTTAGAACTCGATAACAATCGAGGCGGTGACGTGTGAACTATTTTTTGCCCAGTGGGGTTCGAGGGTGCGGTGTACGAGTCCTCTATGGAGAGTATGTTCTTTGTTCTTTATTCTTTGTTCTTTATTGTCCAAGTCTAAGTCTAAGTCTATATTTGTATACTTTCGACACTTAGATGTCACCGGAACGGGTCAAATGATAAGGCGCGGATCTACATGTACGCTGCACTCAGACTGGAGATTAAAGAAAGTCACTTGAATTGAAATAATTGGAGTAAAGGGGTATCATCGGCCAATCAGTTGGCCACGAGGGCGGTTTGTAGCTCCTGCAGCTTCTGCTTCCGCGCCAAGAGCCGAAGCCACGTTCGCACCGCCGGACTGTAGTCAAACCGCCGTCCAGCTGCGTACTCATCATCTGTTCTGTGTGACTGCTGTTCCTCCCGAATGCGTGCTCGTAGTTCCTTCTGGTCCTTGCTAAGCTCCTGCTGATACTGCTGTAACTGCGCCATCGAACACGATTGGTATTGCAGGACCGTCTCAGGGACCTCCGCCGCATCGATACCTTCTCTTGTCAGGCACAAGGATGGCTCAGGACCGAGGATCATTTCATTCCAGGCGACTTCAATGTCGGGAGGTGCCAGGGACATAGCACGTTGGCTGAGAATCTCTAGGCTTCGCACGTTGATGGCTAAGGACTTGATGAGGTCTGGTAGAGGGTCACGCACGAGTCCTAGGATCGAAAATTCAATCTGGTCTTCTTCGTATGCGGCCATTCGGGTAAGAAGATTGGGCCGGACCAATTCTAACCAGTTGTCCTCGGAACATTCGCCTATCAACTGGTGTAAGCAGGGTCATCCTGACATATTTCGGCTCCAACATACCAAGTGCTTGAGGCTGTCGCTCAAGTCCATCAAACTTCCACAGTTGACCCATAACAGGCATGAAGGCAATAAAATGGAAGGTTGCATCGTCATGATCATCATCATCCTGATCCTTAGAGCGATGCTTTTTGGCCGTAGCTTCGATCTTGAGTTGTAGATCTGAATTGAGAATATCCATTTTCCTAACAAAGTCAGACCGGAACAAAGAAAAGTCTAGTATATTGGCATACCGGGCGAATGAGTTATGGATTCTCTTGACGAATTCGAAATTATTGATGGCATCTCCACGCAGAGCTGGAGTAAAAGGCATCGTGAAATCCTTGAAAGACTGCAGATTGTCTCCTAAATCAATACCTGGGATATTGTTCACAATGTTGAGTAGTGCCACGCTGGCACAGGCGTTATTTGCGGTCTTCCCCGTTAGTAAAAACACCATTTAAATAGTATCAAGGGCCTTACCTGGTTGGCAAACCAGATTCCCTCAGGGCAACTAGCTTCTTGTTTGCCATGATCATCCTCACGCCAACGGAACAAAAAGATCAAGCCGTAAACAGGTTTGCTATACATCTATTAGCAATTGAGTCTGGGACAAAATGGGTTGGGTTCGTACTTGAGAAAGGCCATCATCTCTTCGTCAAGAGAGACTACTTCTTGGACCTGGACACCTTGGACGCCAAATTCACGCAGCATGACATTGAACAGAGCCTGGAATATCCGTTAGTCTGTACATATATGTCAATGCTGAGGAATCATACCGGCTCTGACTCTACCTCGCAGAATCCATTCCAGCTGTCTTTGTCCAAGGCAGAAGCAGCCTGGCAGATGTCGTCGCTTTCGTCTTCCGGATCTGTCAGTCGGCGCCGCTTAATACGTGGACCCATGGCTTTTTTGGAAGATATGAAGTCGCTTTGCGATGGGTGGCGATGATTGGACTGGGTGAAGAAGCTAAGGTGCAATGATGGAGTAGCTGGGCGTCCAGTGAAATAAAGACACCGCAATTAAATACGACAGAACTAAAGATAAAGTGAGGTCAAAGAACAATACATAATAGACAAGATGTGTATACAGTATGGGAGAATGTCGTCTAGTGGACCGAGCTTCCCCCGACGCGCTTCCCGCGTCTCCACCAAACTTCACTTTTTTGTTTCCCTTCATTCTCCAACTTTACAGCTATAGGCGCATCCTATACCACAGCTTCTCAACCTACTCTAGAAGGTCTTTGCAGCTGACCCGGATCCTCATTTTGGTTCTATCCTTTTCTTTCCTCGAAAGGCCTAGCTCTGGCAACCACAGCATGCCATGAACGGCACACCCCTCCTCGCGTCTGCCTTTCCCCAGACGCCTACAACAAACCCAGGAGACTCAGGAGTAAGGAGAAAGCTCTTTACTCCTTCACGATCGCAATCGCGGGGGATCCGTACAAGGTCGCCGACCAAATCACCGTTGAAATCCGCCTCCAAAGCACCCAGACCGGCTCCGATCTCAAACACCAATGCGCCGCTGATTCCCGAGAGTACGGTCGATGCACCCACCCAAAGACTCTATGTGGTCGGCTTTTACTTCGCCCTGCATGCGTGGCGATTGTATGAATCGTGGACGGAATCCGATAGCGAGCCCACGGGGCTCCTCGTGAAATGGACGTTGGTTGATTTGGTCTTCTTGTTCGGCCTGCAGGCTCTGCGCATACCTTGGCTAGAGTGGACTTTCCCGACCACACTTGCCCTTTTCCTGCTCCATGTCGTGGGCAATGCCTTTTTGATGTTCCGGATCCCAATCCCATGGGGTGCATGGATTTCCGGACTGGTCAAGGTGGCCTATGATCGCGAAATGTCCATCTCTGAGCGTAAGGTCAAGCCAGGGGATATCATTCACAATGCATCTTTGATCCTCGGAAAGCAAATCGTTCATATTCTGCCAGAGGGGTGAG